AGGACCAGGAAGTTAGAAGATTGTGCATCATATATATATATATATGATGGATCCTTGCACCTTTAGAAAGCCACTTTTCAAATGGATTTGGAGATCCCTTTTAAGCTTGGTTGTAAACATATCTTTATGCACCGTCTCATTGGTCGCACCAGAGGCGGCTGGGTCCCCTGGGGAAGGCCCAAATTGCCCCTTCGCCTGAGTAAGATGGAATCGCCCGAAGCGCTTCTCTCTCTCTCTCTTTTGCACTCCCCATCTGTGGTCTCATCTGCCTGATTAAAAAAACAATAATGAATTCCAGGAGAATTTGAAGAGGAGTCGAAGCAGCCGTCCGTTTCGGAGCAACAGCGGCACCAGCTGAAACATCGCGAGCTCTTCTTGTCCCGTCAGTTCGAGTCCCTGCCCGCCACCCACATACGGTGAGGAGCTTTCTAAAGACTCGGACGCGAAATCCTTTGCTCATCGCGGCCTGTAAATATTTCTGCCTAGAAATCTGCCATTAAATAACAGAACCCGTCGTCATGTCATGCCCCTGTCGGAATCTGACTCGGAGGAGGAAGCCAAATAGCTGACAGGGAGTGGGAGTGTGGCTCCTTTGGCTGTGGATGAAACTGGGGAAGAGCAAAGTCTGGCTGGGCAGAGCAGGGTAGAAGTAGAACAAGGGAGAGGGAGTTTAGAGGAAGACCCAGGCCCACCACCCCCTCTTCATACTAGGGCATGCAGGGAGGAATGGAAAAGGGAGCAACGTGGGTTGCATGGCCTATGGGGGAGGAAAGGCCCCGATTCCCTTCATTAGCTGCAGCTGGGAACACAGTATTATGAAAAAGGAAGCTGCGCGCATCAAGTTGTTGTGAGCAAACGTGACTTTATCTTGTCATGGCTTGTGTTCCTGCCGTCTTCCCAACTGGGTGAGTTTTGCCATGCCTTCAAGCCTGAAATCCCTTCTCATGCCCTGTCAAGCTAATTACTTCAGTTTGGTTTGTTTGGAGTTTAAGTTACAGTTTGTGTTGACCTTGTTTTGGACTTGATTCTCTGCAGCCAAAGGCTGTTCCTGGGAGAGTTTTTCTCCAGCCCGAAGATAACCAGGACTTTGAGGGCAAAGTTGGAGATAATAAAAGGACTCTTATTAACTGTGTTGCCTTTGTGCCACGTCCCTTTGGGTCATCACATGTCACGAGGCTGATAATAAGAGCAGAGTGCAGGAATACAGGTAGTCCTCGACTTACGGCTTACAGCTGAGCCCCAGATTTTACGTTGCTGAGTGAGGAATTTCTCCCGTATCAATTTGACGACTTTCCTCGCATTTGTGAAGTGCATCCCGGCGGTTTTTAAATGAGTAACAACTGTTGTTAAGTGAATCCGGCTTCCCCCGTTGGCTTTTGTTTTGTCAGAGGGTCACAAAAGGGGGAATCGGGTGACTCCTGGGGCCGTTGCCAAGCGTTCCAGTTGTCATCACGTGACCGCGGGGTGGCTGCAGTGGTCATAAGCGTGGAAAAAAAGGGGCGCTAAGTTCCTTTTCTCGGAGCCGTCGTTAACTTCGGGCCGTCACGAAGCGAACTGCCGTAAGTCCGAGACTTACGATCCCCTGTTCTGTTTGGTTGCAGGGGGAAGTGCAGCGTTACCCTCCTCAACGAAACGGATATCCTCAGCCAGTACTTGGACAAAGAGGTGAGACGCTGCAGGGTTAGGTGCGGGAACGGCCTTGGGAGCTGCAGGCACGGAAGAGGGAAGAGAGGCCTCGGCCTGCCGCAGGAATAGGGGCCTGGGGGACGTTTTGGGAAGGGACACCCACCCCCCCAAGAGCAAAAGGAAAGGAGGGGAGAGGGGCTTTCAAGGCAGAGCTGGATTCTCCCGCTCCTGCAGCTTCTCCGGACTACCTCGCAGGGCTGGAAGGCAGGGAAGACGGCAAATGTGGAGGTTCCTCAGAGAATGCTGAGATCTGGGCTTCCGTGACTGAGGCTCTTGACTCCCTTGGACAAGGGAGGAAGGGAAGGAAGGAGAGGAGAGAAAGGAGGGAGGAAAGGAAGGAAGGAAGGAAAAGAGGGAGGGAGGGAAAAAGGGAGAGAGGGAGGAGAAACAAGGAATGGAAGGAGGGAGGGAGGAAAGGAAGGAGGGAAAGAGGAGAAACAAGGAATGGAGGGAAGGAGGGAGCGAGGAAAAGAGGGAGTGTGGAAAGGAAGGAAGAAAAAGAGGGAGGGAGGCAGGAAAGGGAGGGAGGAAAGGAGAAGGGAGGGAGGAGAGGAAGGAGGGAGGGAAGAGAAATGAGGGAGGAAAAGAAAAGGGAGGAGGGAGGGAAGAGGAAGGATTGGAGTGAGGGAGCAAAGGAAGGATGGAAAAGAGGAAGGAAAGGAAGGAGGGACGAGATGGACGGGAGAGGAAAATAGGGAGGGAGGGAGGAGAGGAAGGGAAAGTGGAGAGGGAAGGAAGGGAATAGAGGAAAGAAGGAGGGAGTAAAGGAAGGAAGGTGAAAAGAGAGGGACGGAGGGAAGAGGACAGAAGAGCAGGCCAGGCAGGTGGATTCTCCGCAAACGGCCTGCAACGCTTCTCTCTTCCTTTTCCCAGGACTGTTTTTTCTACTCGCTGGTTTTTGACCCCGTTCAGAAGACCCTCTTGGCCGACCAAGGGGAGATCCGGGTGGGCTGCAAGTACCAGGCGGAGATCCCCGAGCGACTCGCGGAAGGTGAGCGAGGGCGGCTCCGGGTTCCAACCCTGGGGCGACGGGGGGGGGGTCAGGGCCGACCACCAGGGCTGACCCCCCCCTCCCTCCCTCCCTCCGTCCTCCCCAGGGGAATCCGACAACCGGAACCAGCAGAAGATGGAGATGAAGGTGTGGGATCCGGACAACCCCCTGACCGACCGGCAGATCGACCAGTTCCTCGTGGTGGCTCGGTGAGACCCCAGGGGTGGAGCTGCGGGCGGGGCTGCTTGGGGCCAGGTGGAAAGCAGGGCGCGGCTAGCCCGTTTCTTCTTCTTCTTCTCCTCCTCTCTCTGGCCTCAGGGCGGTGGGCACCTTTGCGCGAGCCCTCGACTGCAGCAGCTCCATCCGTCAACCCAGCCTTCACATGAGCGCGGCGGCGGCTTCTCGGGACATCACGCTGGTGAGGATGGGCAGTTGCCTGCCTCCCTTCCTTCCGTCTGTCCGTCCTTCCTTCCTTTCTCCTTCCCTCTCTCTCTCTCTCATTTCCTTCCTTGCTTTTCTTTCTCCCTTCCTTTCTCCTTCCCTCTCACTTTCTTTTCCTTCCTTGCTTTCCTTTCTCCCTTCCTTCCTTTCTCCTTCCCTCTTCCTCTCATTTCCTTTCTTGCTTTTCTTTCTCCCTTCCTTCCTTTCTCTTTCCCTTTCACTTTCTTTTCCTTCCTTGCTTGTCTTTCCTCCTTCCTTCCTTCTTTCTCTTCCTCCCCCTCTGTCTTTCTCTCTTTCTGTCTTTCAGCCTTTTTCTTTTCCCCCCTTTCTTTTCCTCTCCCCTTCCTTTCCATCCCTTCCCCCTTAGTCCTCCTTTCCTCCCTCCCTTCCATTCTCCTTTCCTTTCCTATCCTTTCCTTCTTCATCTATTTACTTCCTTTCCTTCTCTTACTCATCCATTTACTTCCCTTCTCTTTCCCTTTTGTTTCTATCTTCTCTTCGATTTCAGCTTGTTCTCTTTTCCAACTGCTAAAATCTTTAGTAAAAACCAAAGAAAGGTGGGGGGAAAAAACGGCGAGGGATCTTTGAGCCAAAGACCCCCCACTCCGTGATTTCTCTGCCTGTGACAGGCAGCTGGTCATTGCTTCCCCCTTTCCCCTCCCTCTCTCTCCCTCTCGCCAGTTCCACGCAATGGATACCCTGCAGCGTAACGGCTACGACCTAGCCAAGGCGATGTCCACTTTGGTGCCCCAGGGTGGGCCCGTGCTATGCCGGGACGAGATGGAGGAGTGGTCGGCATCGGAAGCCATGCTGTTTGAGGAGGCCCTGGAGAAATACGGCAAGGACTTCAACGACATTCGGCAGGACTTTGTGAGTCGGGTTGTGGCTTGGGGGGGGGGGGGTCCTGGTTTGCAAAAGGGGGCCGTCTTTCGTCCACCGCTAAGCCCTCGACTTAACAAGCCCAGAACTTCTGTCGCGACGCAAGATGGTGGTTCAGTACGTTGTGCCCCCTTTGACGACCGTTCTTCCCTGTTAAGGGAATCACCGTGGCTGTTTAAGTCAGCCACGCAGTTGTTTAAGGTTTTGAGGTTGCTTGTCAGAAGGTCGCAAGAAAGGAATCGCGGACCAGTGGTGGGATTCCATTTTTTTTTTAACTACTGGTTCTGCGGGTGTGGCTTGGTGTGTGTGGCTCTCAACTAAAAATACTTCTTTGGTCTTTTTAGTTGCCAACAGAAAGGGAGGTGGGGGCGGAAAGTAGTGCATTCCTTAAATGCTTCAGATAATTGCTAGGCAGCCAAAGCTTCTGGCGCTCAAGATTATTATTGGAGAGCATGATTGAGGACTCTTGGCTATGGATGTGTCCCATTGGAGAATATAGATCCAGGGGGTGGGAGGAAGACCTCAGGGGGAAATGGATGATGTGTCTTGAAGAGTCAGCTGCACCCAGGAAACGCCGACATGTCAACCCCTATTAATCTTTTTTACTCTTGAGAGATGCGGCTAGAGACTTACGACTTGAACGAGGGTGCATGTCGGAGCCTTCACAATGGCAGGGGAAGGTTACTGCAAAAATCATCTGGGACTTGGGAGGCAGAGAAGAGATCGGGTTGGCGGGGCCACTTAGAGGCAGGTTTGGCCGGTTCTCCGAACTACTCCAAATTTCCCCTACCGCTTCTCTGGAACCGGTCAGAACCGGCTGAATTCCACCTCTGTCATGGACACTGCAACGGTCACAAAGATTGAGCCTTTGAGCCCAACTCCCGAAATGAATTTTGACCGCTGCAAGGGTCATAAGGGTGTCACAATTTTAGTGACAAGGGTCACTAAACAGAACGCTTGTAAGTCGAGGACTAACTGTACTTCCAGTTTTGGGTGAAACCATCTTTAGCGAACGGTGTTTGCTTAATGACTGACACACACACACGCACACACACAAATAGTAAAAACTCACTGTCCGCTTTGGAGGCCAATATTTGAACTTGAATTTTTTTTTTTTTGAATTTTACCTTTATTGTCATTGCATTCCACGAACACAATGAAATTTGAGAGCTACCCCAGCACAGTGCCTCAAACACCGCCTCACAATCACACTACAAGTATAAAATAATTAAAATCATAATAATTAAAAAACCTAGTGTAAAACCTATCTAAAACATTTAGTAAGTTAAATCGTTTAAAAATGCCACTATATACATAGGACTAAATCACAAATGCGGTGTGTGATTCAAGACAATGATTGCCTCGGGAAAGAAACTGTTTCCTAGTCTATTAGTCCTCATTTTAAGACACCAGGTGCTTCCACAACGCCTGGGAAAATGGCGGAAGGGGAGTTTCTCCCAAGTTTGAAGAGGGCAGGTGGAATGTTAACTGGAGGAGTCCCAGCCCCCCCGCCCCAGCCCCAAATTACAGAACTGACCAGATTATTAAACGGGGAGGCACCGTGAACTTAATACGACTGGAGCGTATGCGAGCGTATTCGTTGGAGTGGAGGTTTTCTGGAATTGCGGACTCACTTTATGACCGTGCCGGCCAGGCCTCCATGATGGTCATGACTCGAGGAGTTCCCGTATGATTCATAGCTGGATCTCAAACCCTGAAAGAGCCAGGATTTCCAGGGTGGTCATCCCAGCCCCTCATCCCCGATCATCAACACGGTGAGGCCTCCTCTTTTTTAAAAAAAAAAAAACTCCTCCCTTCTTTCCTTCAGCTCCCTTGGAAGTCCCTGGCCAGCATCGTCCAGTTCTACTACATGTGGAAAACCACAGACCGATACATCCAGCAGGTGAGGAAGGCTCTGCCTACTCCTCCTCTTAGAGAGAGGGAGATTCCATTCCTGGAAAAAGGGGGGGCGGAGAGAGATAAAAACTTTCCAGAGGACCCTTTTGTGGGGGGGGGGGGACGCTGTTCCGCTGACCTCTCTCTCCCATTTCCCGTGCAGAAAAGGTTAAAAGCAGCGGAAGCCGACAGCAAATTGAAGCAAGTGTACATCCCAACCTAGTGAGTATTCCGGCCGTCCCTTCTCAGGGTTTGAGGAGGGCGGGTGTCCGATTTTTCTGTAGCAAGACTGCATCGGGGGCAGAGAAAAGTCCCCCCACCCACCCCAACAAGACCCAGAAAAAATAGGAGCGACGGGCGGTTTTGTGTATCAGATGCAGACTCTTGTATATTCCGGGGTTTGGGGTTCAAATTCTTTTCTGCCCCGGGTTAGAAGCCCTTCTGTAATTATCCAGACGTGGGGTGGATTCAAGCCGATCCCTTGTTTTGATCCCAGCCAAATCTGGGATCAATAGAAGTGCGTATTTGTAACTCGGGGTTGAACTGAGGGGGTCCTTGTGCTCTCTTTGAGCTGGGCGGTTTTCTTCCAGACGCTTCATAACCAAACTAGGGAACATCATCAGTGCTAGAGGGGGAAGGGGGTTTGTGGAGGGGGGAGAGGAGGAGGAGGAGGACTATGGAATCCTTTGGTGCTCTTGGAGTTGGTGGTTTTCTTGCAGACATTTCATGACCAAACTAGGTAACCACATCAGTATTAGGAGGGAGGGGTGTTTGTAGAGAGGAGTCCTTGATGCTTTCTGAGCTTGCAGACGTTTCATTACCACCCTAGACCACCTCATCAGTGCCAGAAGGGAATGAGGTTTTGTGGAGGGGAGAAGGAGGACTGTGGGGTCCTTGATGTTTTCTAAGCTTGGTGGTTTTCTTGCAGACGTTTCATGACCCAACTAGTTCACCTCATCAGTGCTGGAAAGGAATGGGGATTGTGGAGGGGGGGGCAGGAGGAGGAGGACTGTGGGGTCCTTGGTGCTCTCTGAGCTGGGCTGTTTTCTTGCAGACCTTTCATGACCCAGCTAGGGAACATCATCAGTGCTAATAGGGAATTGGGCTTGTGGAGAGGAGGAAGAGGAGAAGGGGAGAAAGATGATGTGGTCCAGGTTATTCTCTGAGTTTGGTAGTTTCCTTGCAGACGTTTCATGACCCAACTAGGGAACGTCCTCAGTGCTAGAAGAGAATCGGGTTTGTGGAGAGGAGGGGAGGAGAAGGAGGGGGAGGAGGAGGAAGACTGTGGTGTCCAAGTTACTCTCTGAATTTGGCGGTTTTCTTGCAGACGTTTCATGACCCAGCTAGGGAACGTGCTAGATGGGAGTGAGGTTTTCCCTCGTTATCTTTCAGCACTGACAATGTCACCTAGTTGGGTCAGGAAACGCCTGCAAGAAAACCGCCAAGCAAACACACACACACACACACACACACACACACACACACACCAGAATCAGGCTAGGCTGTGGGCTTTGGGCCTGGGAAAATAAAACCTAGCCGAGTCGCCTCACCCCCACTGAGCCATTTATCTCTTCTTCCCCAGTACAAAACCGAATCCGAACCAAATCATCTCAGTGGGCTCCAAGCCCGGAATGAACGGCGCCGGCTTCCAGAAAGGTCTCACCTGCGAGAGTTGCCACAGTAAGTCTCTGCCGAGAAATCGGGGCCTCCGGCTGGACACAGGACCCAGATCGTCTCTCCCTTTGCTCCGGGCGCCTGGGGAAATCGCCGGAGAGGGCTGAGCCCCTGCAGCAGGCGGAAAGGAGGAGCGGAAGGGGGGGCGGGGAGATGTGGATGGGGGGTCCTCATTTGGCCCCTCTCTCGTCCCACAGCCACCCAGTCTGCCCAGTGGTACGCCTGGGGCCCCCCTAATATGCAGTGCCGGCTCTGCGCCTCGTGCTGGATCTACTGGAAGAAATACGGGGGCCTGAAGACGCCGACGCAGCTCGAGGGAGCTGCCCGTAGCATCACAGTAAGAGAAACAGAAAACACACACACACACACACACACACACACACACACACACACCCTTCTGGCTTTGTGTTAGGGGTTGGGAGCTGGCTTGGGACAAGCGATTCTGTTGGATGCTGGTTATCCAATTGGGGACGCGACAGGAATTATTAGTCTGCTTAATAGGAAAGGCGTCTTTTGTGTAACGTTTCCTATTATTTTTATACAAAAATTGTCCAGCGGTGACTAACACACCTTCTTTTTCCTCCAATAACGAGAGACTTATGAGGTGGGTTGGGCTGAGAGAGGAGGATCCAGCTGGCTTTCATGCCTAAGGCGGGACTAGAACTCACCATCTCCTGGTGATTGGCCCAAAGTCACCCAATTGGCTTTCATGGCTAA